ATCAATGGCTGCAGGGGCTAGAAGGAGGGAGAGATGACTGGATGGAGCACAGGAATTTTTAGGGCAGTGAAACTGTTCTATATGATCCTATAATGGTACATCATAGAATGTACCACACCAAAAATGAAGTGTAAACTGTGGACTTTGGATGATAATGTAGTCAGTATAGGTTCATAAATTGTAGTAACTGTGGTAAATTATAGTATCATTTGGCGCAGAATAATAGGGAAGACTGGATAGATAGGGTTGGGGACATATGGGAAGTTGGTCAAACCTTTAAAACTGCTCTAAAAATAACGAGGTTTTTGTTTTGTTATTTTTTTTTTAAAGAATGACGTAGATCTGCCTAGTTATGCTGACATGGAAATTCCCATTATATAAAGGATAATCCCATATATGTTTTGGTCTGTATCTGAATGGAAAGCAAAAGGATGCACACTAGGTTTTTACAAGGGCTGTCTCCTGGGATGGGGTTGTAGAGTTTGCATAAAAGCAGGGAAGCAAAGGGATTTTGCTTAAATGCGCCTGCATTGTTTTAGTCTTTTACAATAAGAATGTGCTCATGTTTTAATCTGTTGATAATGCATTCATATATTATAACAAGAAAATAATATTTAAAATAATAGTTCTATACTCATTACATAGAAAACTTAAAAAGCATGTTCCTCAATACAGAGATAAGCATTATTTAAATTTTATACATTTTCTTATGGTTTTTTTGTTGTTTTGTTTTTTGGTTATAGACTTTAATTGAGTTGTAGTTTTGGTTCCATATTTTAAAACAGCTTTATTCTGTGAGAATTTTTCAGTGTCATTAAAAATTCTTTGAATAGCTGGGCCTAGTGACACATAACTGTAATTCCAACTGCTTGAAGGGCTGAGGCAGGAGGATCACAAGTTCAAGACCCGCATCAGCAACTCAGTGAGACCCTGTCTTAAAGTAAAAGTAAAGGGCTAGGTTTGTGGCTCAGTGGTAAAGTGCCCCTGTGTTCAATTCCCAATACAAAAAAAAAAAAAGTGTGTGTTTTCTTTGAACATATTTTCTTCAACTGTATGATTGTGACACATCTGTACTATGAAATATTGATTTAATGTTTCTCTAATGTTGAGACCTCATGGCTCACATCTTTATGTATAACTATATCTTGAGAGTATTCAATATTTCCTTATGATCAATTTCTAAATGAAATATCACCTTTATTAAAAGATAGATACAATTTTGAAGTTGTAAATACTCTTAACAAGATTTTAATTGTATAAAAACAAAGCAAATTATTTTAAAGCATAAGCAAAAACCATAGAACATATTTTTCCATAGTACATGACTTTTAATAAAGCAGTAGACTGATGGGGTTGCTCTTTTTATGATCTCTTTTCCCTCATTTTCTGTTGTTAGTCATTCTTTCTCACCTATGAAATTTTGTATTCTTTCTTTAATGCTTTGAAATTTCTTCATTTCTTAAAAAGAGCAAATCAAAATTCCAATACAGCCAGCTTGAATCAATCTTTCTGTTTCTCTTATGAATAGACAGTTCCTCCAGGCAGTGAATTAGCCCTTTGGAAAACATGGGAATTATGTTTCTCTTCCCTGAGTGTCTGAAATAGGTGGCCTGGAATGCATTCAAAGAGAAACATTGTGTCAGATCCTCAAATCTAAAGGCAAAATTCTGTTTTTACTTATTATAGGTAGTTTTTATTGTTGTTGCAGCTGCTGCCATTTGTTCTGAGTTACTAAATTTTAAAAAAAATTATAATAAATCCATTCCCAAATTTAATTTAGCATTAAATTATTAATGGACTAATGTAGTTGATTCTGGTTTTTTATTATAGAAATGTACCAGGAAAGGTTGCTTTTAAGAGAATCCTGTGCCAAATACCTTTTTTAAATATAAGGTATTATCCCTCCCTTTTTTTTTAATAAATGTGTGTTGTCTAATATTTAATATTTCTAAATTCAGAAATATTTTTGTAGTTCAGTCTACAGTATTAGCAGTAATTTGTTTTTACTTATGAACTAGATAATATCCCACAGGATTTTTTTTTCACAACACCTTTATTGTATTTATTTGTTTTTATATGGTGCTGAGGATCAAACTCAGGGCCTCACACATGCTAGGCAAGCAGTCTAGCACTGAGCTACGGCTCCAGCCCAGTATCCACAGGATATTGATATCCCATGTATTCTAATTGAGTTTGTTACTGCAAGAAAACAGTAGTTCTTACAGTTGTGGTACCCACAGCCAGTTGCATCGGCACCATCTGGAAACGGGTTAGAAATGCATATTCTTGGGGCCTACCCCCATCCTACTCAGGAGGTGGGACCCAGCAACCTGTGGTTTAACCATCCCTTTGGGTTATCCTGATATATATCAAAATTTGGAACTGCTGGTTCACATACTATATATAAAGTAGGAAACAATTCCAACTCTCACTGCTTGAGGCCTGCTTTTGGTTTAATTCCAAGGTGCATATTAGGAACTATAGCAGTAGTGCTTCTAGTAGCTATGTAGATGAAAAACTGATAGCAAAGGCAGCCTAACAAGAGTTGCTTTCATTGTTTCCAGTGTTGAGATTTTAGAAATTAAGCAGTGAGCCAAGAATCCTTCACTATTGAGTCAAACTAAACTGTTTCAGTATTTAAGATAATTAGCAGAAGCTTCTTCTTTGAAAACATCATTTAGATTGTGCCTCCCTTTATTACCAAGATACTTAACGTGACAACCCATGAATGTAGGGTTTCACATTTAAAGTACATAAAATTATTCTAAGAATTAAGGAAATCTTGAATGCACTCACTTTAAAAGCTTTTAAGTTTTAAATAATTGCAAATAGACATAAGTACCTTAAAGACATTTCATTTATATAATTAAGGTTTAAATCCCCTTATTGGCTTATTTAATGTAATCATTAACTTTTTGTATAATATCTACCTATTTGGTTATTTTTAAAACACTTTTAATGGGACAGTATTGTGCTAATACCTGTGTGTTTTTTATTTGAGGACTCCTCTACTCCTAAATTTAAATGTTACATACATTTTTAAATTTTTTCAGATGACTACTTTAGGATGAAATGTTTACTTTTTAAACTTGGCTTTATTTTATAAATGGGGGAACCCTTTTATAAAGAACTAGATCTCCTTGCTAATTTGGGCCTTGAAGTTTATTTTGGCTCTTAAATGTATAGCAGATTTTTTTTTCTTTTAACTTAGGAAGATGATTGCTCTCAAGAAGAAATGTAACTGGTTTGGTGATGTTGTATGTCTGGCATAGCTAATAGATCTTGTTTGTGCTGTATATTTGAATCAATGACTAGACAACTAGTAAAGGAAAGCTTACAATACTCCCTTCATGCATACTGAGAAGTGAGAAATTTCCCAATGCCAGGATACAGCTGCCAAACTTTTAAAGATAGTATTTCCTAATTTTAAATTTAAAAAAATTTTAGATGTTATTTACCTTCTCTCTATAACTAGATTATATTGTGGAAGGTCAGTTTCTTATCAAACAACAGAAATTCATCCTGTCATTAATTATTTTCTAAATGTTTATAACTCAAGAGTGAGGGAGCTATGGAATATATTTTTGAATAGTCTTTCACCTAATCAAATGAGTCTGAAATTTCCAACTAGAGTAAAAAGATGTAGACAATTTAATGTTGGAAATTTCCTGTCCTTATTTTATTAGTCATGGACCAGGTAAAATTAATAACATTGAAAAAGCAAAACAGTGTTCAGAAGTTTCTTATCCCTTTTGCTGTAGACCTAGTCACACACTGATGAATAATCTGTATCTAGTCTTTTATGCTGGTATTATTTAATCCATTTCCACATATAATTAATCTGCTTTCTCAGTTGAGTAAAATACCTGAATCAGTCACTCCTAAAATATGTAAAACAAACCAGATATGGTGGTACACACATATAATCTCAGCTACTTAGGAGGCTGAGGCAGGAAAATTGAAAGTTCAGGGGCAGCCTGGGCAACTTAGTGAGACCTTGTCTCAAAGAACAAAAAGAGCTAGGGGTGCAGCACAGTGGGAGCACTTGCCAAAAAACACCTGAGACTCTGGGTTCAGTCTCCAGTATCATGAAAAGAAAAGGAAAAAAAAAGTATGTCATCCCTAAAATTGGCAGCAGACTAACAGAATTTTTCTTGTGTGAGAGTTTAGGCTGTAAAGTATGCAATTCCTCATAAACTATTAAAGAATAAAAGGTGGGGCTGGGGATGTGGCTCAAGCGGTATCGCGCTCGCCTGGCATGTGTGCGGCCTGGATTGGATCCTCAGCACCACATACAAACAAAGATGTTGTGTCCGCCAAAAAAAACTAGAAAATAAATATTTAAAATTCCCTCTCTCTCTCTCTTTCTCTAATTCTCTCTTTGAAAAAAAAAAAGATTAAAAGGTGATACATTATTAACTTTTTAATGAAACAGATCCTAAGACTACAAATCTACAAGAAACAATGTAGGGTATTTTGTAATGGCGTTAGTCAGAAGCAAAATGAAATTTGAAGAAAGAACTTGTATAAAACATAAGTATTTTTTACTTTTCAAATTTAATCTCTAATTAAATAACAGACCTCAGATTATTTGGGGTAGAGGTGGTAAATCAGATAAATGAAGATATATAAAAGATTAAAGTCATATTGTTCATTTTTCTTCATCAAATAAGAGTATATTTAAAACAATTTTTTTCAATCCAATGATTCATTGTCCTTGGTTTTCCTCAATGAGAGAATTAGTTTTATTGTTGTTTTTGATAATTTTTAGATGGACACATATCATTATTTATTTTTTATGTGGTGCTGAGGATCAAACCCAGTGCCTTACACTTGCAAAGCAACCGCTCCCCCACTGAGCCACAGGCCCAGCTCCAAGAGAATTAGTTTTTGGGGTAGTCTTTTTTTACTTTTTTGTGTCACAGGCCTGAGCCAGAGATAAATTTTATTTGTTTTCAAAAGTTAATCTTGGCAAACCATTTTATACTTTGATTCTATAGTGGTCTGAGGGAAGCCAAAAGCAGGCAAACCTACAGAAGAGCATTGAGAAGGCTAAAATTGGCCGACATGAGACGGTAAGTTTGTGTCTATAGTTTCTTTAATAATGGTACTTTTATTTTTTTATTTATTTCTTACATACATGATCATTTATGACAATAGTATAATGCATTACATTCAAAATTATTCATTCACATAATAATGATAATTTTAAAGAGAAGAAAAAGAGCTTCCTGTGAGGAGGGTTCCATTTTCACCAGAGAGAAGTAGCAGAGGATGTAGGAATTGAATCCAGGCATGTACATGTTTGTGTGTGTATGTGTATGTGTGTGTGCGTGTGTGTTTTAGCATAACACAGAAACAAACTTGAGCAAGACTCTCTTAGTCTCCTAAATCCTCTGTTCTCCGTTTTCTCAGTTGTAAAATTGGGTATAATAAAATGTACTTCATTTGGTTATTGTTTGGAATAAACTAGTTTATATTTGCAGATATTCTGATACATAGTAAACCCTATTAAACATTTATGTATACTTTTAAAATTTTTTTAATATTTATTTTTTGGTATTTGTAGTTGGACACAATAATTTATATGAGGATTGAACCCAGGGCCTTGCACATGCAAGGCAGCGAGGCAAGCACTTTTTTAAAAAATTTTGTATATAAACTAAAAATAATCAACAGAGTATCCTTGTGTCGCTATAAAATTTTGAAATTATTCAAGTGAACATTGATCTATTTTTAAAAGTGCCATGTGCTCTAAAGTATTGTTAGAAAGTTTTTAAAAATTACCTCACTTTCTGGTTTCATCATTGTCTCAAGAATGATTTCTATAAAAATATTTTTTAAATATTGAAGATCAATTTAAACCGCTAAGCATTCCACCTAAGTCTCTATTTGTATCACTTAACTGTGAAAGAAAGTGACCTGAAAACTTGTTATATCACGAAAAGGAATGCATCTTGGGTTTACAGTGGCTTTATGCTTACAGAGTAGCTTCATGTTAGTAGTGAACACAATCACAGGTAGCAAGCAGAGAATGATCATTTTTGTGGAACATTTAAAAGAAGGTAAATTTTGGGCATAACTGAAGCTGTTATAATTACTTCTTCAGTTGACAATAGCAGTTATCAATTCTTTATTTTTTTAAATATTTATTTTTTAGTTATAGGTGGACACAATATCTCTATTTTTATGTGGTACTGAGGATCGAACCCAGTACCTCACGCATTGTAGGTGAGCGCTCTACCTCTGAGCCACAACCTCAGTCCTTTATTTTATCCACTTTTTTCTTTAACACTGAGAGTAGCTTATAAAAACACCTTCAACTATTTGTAACATATGTATGCACTGAAATTGTAAGCCAGTGTACCTAAATGTTATCAGTGTGCTGCAGCCAGTGCAGCTAACCTTGTTGGAACCTTCACCTACTATCAGTCTGGTGTAGTAATTCAGAAAGATGAAGTCTTACCTGCCAGAATATATTTGTTGAATTCCAGTGATCCAAAAAGATAGCTACTATTATTATGTCTATTTTACATTTGAGAAACTAGAGGCACAAAGAATTTGAATAATTTGGCAAAAATCATAATGCTGGTATCTAAGGTGACTTCAAGTCAGAGTTTCTGGAGAGCTGCCTTTGTATTCACATGGATGTTCTCCACTCTGTTTGTTGTTGTTTTATTAGCTTTTTCTCCTCTTGTTTTTCCTTTTAAAGCAGGTACAGTTTGGGTGTAGATGGCAAATAATGACCATTTTCTTATATTCTACTTACTTTTAAATATTTCCTGAGCTGTGCTAAATGGTATGTACTAACTATGCAGCCGTTTATATTAAAATTAGTTTCTCAGTCATAGTAGCCACATTTCATGTACTCAGTAGCCACATGTAGCTAGTGGCTCCTGTATTAGTACAGCCTAGAACATTTGTCATTGAAGACAGTTCTATTGGCCTGTCTTGCTTCAGATCATGTTGTTCTACATATTTATTCTATACAAATGCCAGCAAAAGCAACTTACTGCATACTGAAACCAAAGGGAACAGCCAAAGGCAAAAGTAAAAAAAAGCACAAATATAAAAATACAAGGTATCAAGGAATCTTTCACAAGTCCCATTTAGGCCATTTGAACTTTATTTGATTTTACTTCAGATTTATCTTGTAATTTTACACCATAATCTTTACCAGCATTTGGTTTTTGTTTGGACTTATTTTTTCAGGTTTCACAATATGAAGTGCATACCCATAGTTACTATGACTTCTTCCTGTTAGAACTGCAGCTAGAAATTTTAAATGGGGTTTATTGGATCTTACTCTAAGTTTTAATCTAATTACCTTTAAAGGAAAATGGTAGGAGCCCCCAAGCTACAATTCTGTTATTTCTGATATCTTTAAATATGTACAAAGGTTACATACCCAATTATTTAAGATTGAAAAGTTGCTCAGGATACTTTGTAACTGATGATCATATAGTGATTGATGTTAACATAAACTGTTACTTACATATGTATATATGATCTTGTGAAATCATTCAAAAACCAGAATAATTATTTTCCCTAATATATGATAACATGGTCATTCATCTTTGAGTTTATATAGGCATGATCAGTAATGACTCATCTATGCATAAGCATTTAATTCCATATATTTATTTACATTTTTCAATATATATTAAGAATTCTTGATTTCAAACATAAAAATTGAGCTTGTTCTTACACTGTGCATATATGTATATACAGTCATCCCTCAGTGTTCACAAGGGATTGGTTGGTTCTAAGGCCTTCTGAGGTATCATATGGATGCTCAGTTCTCATATCAAGTGGCATAGTGTTTGCATATAACCTGCATACACACATCCTCTCACATACTTTACATCCTCTCTAAATTACTTATAATACTAATACAATGTAAATGCTATGCAAATAGTTGTTATACTATATTATTTGTGGAGTAATAGAAAGAAAAAATATGTAAATATTTAGTATAGAGAAATTTTTGGCAGGGGGGTATTTTGTATCCATCATTGGTTAAATATGTGGATACAGAATCCATGGATATGAAGAGCCAACTGTATAAATATAATATCTATACATGTATGCACACAGATATGTATATATTTTTGTATTACCTTATAACATATGGGATTTTATTTGTCTTAATTGTATATGAAACTGTTTTGAATGCAGGAAGAGCGAACCATGCTAGTAAAAGAGCTTTCTACTCTTCGGAACCAAAGGGAACAGCTTAAGGCAGAAGTAGAAAAATACAAAGAATGTGACCCACAAGTTGTAGAAGAAATACGTAAGTTTGTGCTTGATAATGAAAGAGACTTTGAACTTCTCGTTGCCCAGGAACCATCCTCTAAGTATGTGATAAAATCAGCTAAAATAGTATTCTGATTTGAGTGCTCTAACTTTGTAGTATAAAAGGGAAATTTTACCTTAATATTTCCATTAGGTAGACTTATTGTTAAAGCATTGAATAGTGACAACTTTGAAATTAATAAGTAGGGCTATAGAGCACTTGCCTAGCATGTGTGAGGCACTGGGTTTATCCTCAGCACCACAAAAAACTAAATAAATAAAATAAAGGTATTGTGTTTATCTACAACTAAAAATTTTTTTAATTAATAAATATTATTTAAGTAAGGTGAATGAGATAGAAGCATAAAGACATAAAATATAAACTTAGGAAACTGGGAGGTCAGAGAAGCAATTTGGACCCAGGCACCTTGATTCTAGAAAGAAATCTACCATAATTTTCTAAGAAAAAGAATATTTATAAATGTAAGTTTGCAAGTTGCATAAAAGTACTGTAAATTGAATTGCCTTCCTGCTTTTAAATCAATTACCAGTTTTTTGTTTTGTTTGTTTGTTTTGTTTTGTTTTGTTTGTGGCACTGGGGTTTGAATCCAGGGCCTTGCACGTGCCCAGCAAGTGCTCTACCACTGAGCTACCCCACCCCACAAAAGTAATTTTGAAAATTTTTGTTTATATGTAAAGATAGAAATTTGAAAAAATTAAAGAGTATGTTATAAAGGTAAAGGTACAGCATTTAATTGCTTAGAAAAACATGTATTGCTTTCTTCATATTTTTCTATATCAGCCTTTTAAGGAACTTTTACCAAATGAAACTTTTACCAAGTGAAACCAGAGTGTGAATGAAAGCTTTGAGAAATATTTGATACTTTAAAATTAACCTAAGTATTTTTATTACAATTAAGCTAACCTAATTCTTGGTAGTCTTTTTTTAGAATTAAAAAAAAAAAGTATAAACAAATTAGTTAGTATAAATCTAAAGTTAAAATTTATTTGGAGATAGGTGCCCACTTTGCTCAATTCCAGGAGGCACTGTTCACCTGGTTCAGCTGATTTCCCCGGGTAATTCTCAAAGAGTGAGAGAGAGAAAGAAAGAAAAACAGGGACAAAGGAAAGATGGAGAGCTCTCTGAACTACTCATTCTTTGCAAATTAAATATTTGGGGAGACATGTTAGTTTTTTTCATGCTGCCCACACATGCTGCAAAATAAAACACTAACCAAATCTAGTGCTTCAAAATTAATCACTTTTGTCTGGGTGTGGTGATGTAGGCCTATAATCCCAGCAGTCGGAAGGCTAAAAACAGGAGCATCACAGTTCAAAGTCAACCTTGGCAACTTAGTGAGATTGCCTCAAAAAATAAAAAGGGTTGGGGATGTGGCTCAGTGATTTAGTGCCCCTGGGTTTAATCCCTGGCCTGGTATGAAAACAAAAATTAACCACTTTAATCTGATTGAAAGGTTTAACTACTATCAAATAAGCCTCAGTAAGCACATGCAACTCCAATGTAATAGGGGACAAGATAGGAACCTAGGCCTGCTCATGATTCCTCTTCAAAATCAAGCACACGCTGCTTGGTCAAGAGGATATCAACTGTGTGCCTTATCTAGAGCATCTTGTGAAAGAGAGCTTTACAGGCAAGTTTCTTTCTTTCTTTCTTTGGTTGAACCTAGGAATGCTAATTTATCACTGAGCTGAATCCCCATCCCTTTTTTTAAAATTTTGAGACAGGTTCTTGCTCAGGCTGGCCTCAAAGGCTGCACAGGCTGTGATGCTCCTGCCTTATCCTCAAAGTAGCTAGGATTTGCAGGTGTGTGCCACTGCAACTGCCTAGGAACAGTTTTCTTAGCCAAATTTAATACTCTCAATTGATTAATTTTCAGGATCAACATGGCTTTGCCATCTAATAGTTTATGAAATTCCAAGTTTTCACAGTAACTAAATCTGATCCTTCATGTATTACTCTTACTTGATTCTGCCTTCTTTCTTTATTACAGTTTTGTGTAGTTCTTATACTTTTTCCTTAGAGTAATGCCTCTTTGACTACCTGTCTCATTCTCTTTTATGTTTAGGATTTATAACTATTAGCCACACCCAGTAAGGATTTAAGTTTTTCCACTCTGTGGTCCCTGTTGTACTGCCATGGGTGCTTCCCATGGGCAGCTGAACCTGACTGATGTGTCCAGTTGTGACTTCCCATGTTTTACAGTTCTTTTCATGATCTTGTTAACTTCTGTTCACTCAGGAATGACTAAAACTTTCATTTAAGTTCATCCAAGTACTTTGACTTAAAATGATAGTGATCTTAAGTTAATGGTTCTTCTTGAGTTTCAGGATATTAACAAGAATTGAAAATTGGGCATATGTTTTAAGATATTGGCACTGGATGTGGTAGCACATGCCTGTAATCCCAGATACTCGGGATCCTAAGGCAAGTGGATCATAAGTTCAAGGCTAGCCTGGGCAATTTAGTGAGAATCTATTTCAAAATAAAATAAAAAGATAATCCCAGTTACTCAGAAGACTGGGATAGATGGATTGCAAGTTCAAAACTAACTTCCACAACTTAACAAGACCCTGTATCAAAACAAATAAAAAGGGATGGGGATGTATCTCAGTGATGAGTCCCCCTGGGTTCAAGCTCCAATACTACAAAATTAATGAATGAACAGTGAGAATGTATTTCAGTAGTAGAGTATCAACAAACCCTAGTACCAAAAAAAAAAAAAAAAATGCCTTCTAAATCTGAATCAAAATCATCAAGCAGCAATTTTGGCAAGTGTGTCATGTTTGAGAAAGGCACTAAAACTTAAAGTAAGAAATGTCAGGGTACACAAAGGATGATGAATTTTCTAAAGCATATGATAACACGGTTGAGTTGCAGCTGAAATTTTATACTGCTTCCCTACATTCTGGTATCCACCTTAACCTTTAAATTTAAAAGTCTGATAATTTATTTTCCAGCCCAAGGAAATCATACCAATGTAAATGAGCAGATTAAATTTTATAGAAGAAAGGATTAATATATTTAAAGACATAGCAATAAAAATAATCCAAAATGAAACAAAAAACAATTTTAAATATAAAAATGGCATTCTTGAGCAACTTAACCTAATATATGTATAATTGGATCCAAAAAGGGGTCGGGGAGGCAGCGGGGAGAGGGAAGTTGTTGGGCTAGAAAAATATCTGAAGAAATTAAAGCTAAATATTTAATAGTCCAGAGGTTTCTTATTAATAAATTCAGAGAACTTTAAAAAGGCTTTAACCTCAACTCACCCCAAATTCCCTTTCCCCAATAAAATTATTGTTTTTAAAATATGCTTTTTGATAATGAGTGTTTTCATAGGATTTTAGCTATCATGTTAGTGCAAAAGAGATTATACTGGATTAAAAGGATTATGAGTTTTACAATTTGATTTTAATAGGATTTGATTCTGAATAGCTGCCAGTAGGATTCATATCACAGCACTTAGGCTTATCTAAGACATGGTTTATTTTGGATAATACATTTTTCTGATAATAGCTGTTACCATGTTTATATAGACATGGCTATATATTGTGTCTTAATTCTTGATCATGCCTGCAAGAAATATTTATATTTCACCATGCCAATTAAATTGTTGATATCATTAAGTAAGCATTTACAAAATTAATTGGAAATGCCCAAGAAGTGAGAAGTAAAAACAATAATTTTAATTTTAGCTGCTTTAAGTGTTATTTGAGTGAGGCCATGTAAAACAAGTAGTACAAATTAAATTCCCACAAAAATACTTGAAAGTAATTAATGTTAGGATTACTTATCAAGTTTCCTTAGAAATAAATGTCAGGATGACAGTGAAAAGGTGGAATAATCACCTTTGAAAATATGCCCTTCCATAAAAGCTTGCAGGAATTGTTAGAGTCAACTTTTTCAAAACTCTGAAAATATAATTAAAGACTTACAGGCTCCTATTCACAAAAAATGGATGAATCTCAGTAAGAATAGTGAGTTTGTGGTGTTTCATCTTATTCTTTCTTATCTGTGCTCCAGCTCATCAGCATTGTGAACTTGACTTGAAAAAAGGGATCTATGAACATCTACAGCCAACATTTTGCCGAATGGAGAAAGGCTGAAAGCTTTCCCCATGGATGTTCACTCTTACCACTTCCATCTAACCTTCTTCCAGAAGTTCTAGCCAGGCCAATTAGGCAAGAATAAGGAAGAAAAGGCATCCATTTCAAAAAGGAAGAAATAAATAACATGAAGAGAGATCCTACAGAATGGAAGAGAATCGTTACCACACACACCTGATTGAGTACCAATGTCTGGGTTATATAAAGAACTCAAAAAACTTAACACTAAAAAAACAAATAACCCAATCAATAAATGGACTAAGGAACTGAATTGATACTTCATAGAAGAAATACAATCAGTCAACAAACATATGAAAAAATGTTTATCATCTCTAGCAATTGGAGAAATGCAAATCAAAACTACTCTTAAGATTTCATCTCACTCTAGTCAGAATGGCAAGTTATTAATAATCAAGGTAATAATAAGTGTTGGTAAGGTTGTGGGGTAAAAGATACACTCATACATTGCTGGTGGAACTGCAGATTGGTGTAACCACTCTGAAAAACAGTATAGAGATTCCTCAGAAAACTTGGAGTTTGACCCACCATTTGACCCAGCTATCCCACTCCTCAGTTTATGACAAAGAACGTAAAATCAGCATACTACAGGGACATAGCCACTTCAGTGTTCATAGCAGTTCAATTCACAATAGCTAAACTGTGGAAGCAACCTAGATGCCCTTCAATAGATGAAGGGATAAAAAAAAATGTGTTACATATATACAATGGAATATTACTCAGCCTTAAAGAAGAATGAAATTATGGTGTTTGTAGATAAATGAATGGAACTAGAGAATATCATGCTAAGTGAAATATGCCAATCCCCAAAACCAGATGTTTTCTCTGATAAATGGATGCTGATCTATAGTTGGGATGGGTGGGTAGGGAAGAATGAAGTAACTTTGGATTGTGCAGAAGAGAGGGGTGTGGCAGTGGGGATGGGAAAGATGATAGAATGAAACAAACATTATTACCCTGTGTACATGTATGATTACACTACTAATGTGACTCTGCACCATTTATAGCCAGAGGAATGAGAAGTTGTGCTACATTTGTCAAAATGCATTCCTCTCTCTTTATAACTAACTAGAATAAATTAAAAGTTAAAAATAGCTTTATTTCTTCCTTTTTTAAAAAAAAATTATCTCTTTTTAGATAATGTGATCTTATTCATATGTAGAAAGCCTTAAACAATTTATACACACAGATACACACCAAGAAAAACTATTACAACTAATATTTTTTTCAGACTATAAAATTAGTATTTTTTAAAATTCCTATAAAAATGCAAGATACACAGAATTGCCAAAAGAATTTGGAAAAAGAAGAGTGAAGTTGGAAGACTCAGATTTCTTAATTTCAAAACTTACTAATAATCTACAGTAATCGAGGCAATGTGGTATAAAAGCAGATATACAGATTAATGGAATGTAATTGAGAGTCCAGAAATAAAGCCAATTGATTCTCAACAAGGGTGCCAAGACCATTTAATTAGGAAAGAAATAGTGTTTTCATCTAATGGTATGAGCAGAACTGAATATCCACCTCATATCATAAACAAAAATTAACTCAAGCGTTTCAAAGACAAAGAGTTTGAACTATAAAACCCTTAGAAGAAAACATAGGCACATATTTCTTTGTCCTTTTACTAGCATCAGTTTCTTTGACATGAAAAGAATAAACACCAAAGAAAAAATACATAACTTGAATTTTATCAAAATTTAAAATTTTTGTATACTATTAAGAAAGTGGAAAGAGTGTGCATGTATGAATATGTAACAACAAATCCTATCAATATGTACAACTGTAATGCACCCATAAAAATAAGGAAAGAAAAAAGGTGGAAAGAAAACTCAGAAAGGGGAAAAAAATATTTGCGAATCTTATATCTGACTACTGACTAATATCCAAGAACTCTTACATTTCAGTAAAAAATCTAATTCAGAAATGGACAAAAGATTTGAACATTTTTCCAAAGAAAATATACAAATGTCCAATAAGCACACATGAAGATGCTCAACATTAGCCGTTAGGGGAATGCAAATCAAAACCACAATGAGATGCTTCTTCATGCTCATTAGGATGGCTATGATTTTAAAAAGGGCCAGATGTGGTGGTGCAGGGCAGTAATCCCCACTACTTGGGAGGCCAAGGCAGGAGAATGCAAGTTCGAAGTCAGCTTAGACTACTTAACCAGACCTTGTCTCAAAAAAAGAAGAAAAAAAGGCTATGGTTGTAGCTCAATAAAAGAACATTTTGCATAGCATGTATAAAACCCTAGGTTCAGCCACTGCCGCCAGTCTGAGGCAGGTGCCCGACATGGCAAGTGCTGTGCTGCCAACCGGATCCCAGTGTGCGGTGGCAGTGGCAGCAGCAGCGGCTGTGGCAGCGGGGCTTCGGCTCAGGCGGCTTCTGCTGTTGCTCCTCTCCGCGCGGCGGCTATGATCCCCACAGCCCAATCCTAATGGGACTGGAAGACTGATGATTCTCCAGTGAAATTGAGGAAGAAAGTGGTCTACCCATCAGCCTTCAGCTGGTTGCTGTTGCATAAAACTACTGTTTTATCTTTAACTGTCTTGGTTTATAAGGTGAATGACAGCTGATTATCTTTGCCTACTTTGAGGATAAATACCTTCCTGTTGCATCTTCCATTTTAACTAACACATACTTAATCTAAAATATACTTCCATGTAGATATTTCTTTTTCTTCTTGTCAGGTACATACATGAGTGTATTTCTTTATGCTGAGTCGAAACGTGTCAAAATAATGACCATGTTTTTAATGGAAATTTTAAATTTCAGAATGTTGAAAATATATAGGAGCTATTTGGTAGAATCTGTTTGAATGTGGGGATTTATTACAGCCTGAAAATGGTATAATTGACTTAACAAATTACAGGCTGGAAAAGGAAGATTTTCAGACAAAAAGGGAAGTTGTTCAGACATAGGAAGACTTTTTAAGGGTCAAAGTCAGAGAACCTCATATGGAGCTGCTGACTTGACATGAGATTAGCCCCTCTGCAAATGACCCAGGAGATGCCACCTAAAGTGGTGTATTGATGCTTATGTCTGGGATGTTGTAGGTACCGACAAAACATACCTGGAGATATGGCAGGCCTTTATTAGCTAGTATTTGGCTTTGGGATCAGTATTGCCTAACTAAACAGTCACGCCACCATTGGGGCATGACTATGAATTTGGTTGTATTTTGGTAGATAACAGAGAGTGATTTATCATTGACCTAAGAAACAAAAGAATGAGATGAGGCTGAGTGTGTTTGTGGTGGCACCTGCCTGTCATCCAGCTATTCACGAGCCTGCTGTAAGAGGATCATGAATTTGAGGCCAGCCTCAGCAGCTTAGTGATACCCTCTGTGAAGATAATATAATGTGGGCTGGGGATGTAGCTCTCACCTAGCTTGTGCAAAGCCTGAACCTAATACCAAAGATGAAAAAAAAGTAAAATAAAAAGGAAACAAAAAGATGGAATATTTGTCTCTCAGTCTAACTGCTAAACTTGTTTATTGTTATTTGAAATAGCTTTTATTTGGTGTTACTATCTGCCATAATTCTTCCTTTCCTTTCTTCATTGTCTGGAGTCCTTCCTCTTCAGAGTTCAGTTCTTGCTAGTAGAATAAGATTATACAGCATGGTAGTACAATGATATAAGAATGTGATGGTTTTAGAGTATTTGGGGACAGTTTTGGGAGTAGTTTCTATGTCCAAATGTGGTTATGTATTTGGCTTTTTACTGAATTAAATAACACCTGTGATAAACCAAGCCACCCAGACTTCACAAATCATCAGCTTGCTTCTCTCTTTGGAATAAAAGGAACATTGCCTCATTTAAAAAAAAAAAAAAATCTAGGTTCAATCCCCAGTGTCACAAAAGGAAAAGAAAGAAAAAAACAGTGTTGGTGAGGATGTGAAGATATTGGAACTCTTTTTTTTTTTAAGATATTGGAACTCTTAGATTGCTGATGAGATTGTGGAATAGTGTTGCAAACAATTTATCTATTCTTTAAAATGATATGATGTAATTACCATATGAATCATCAGTGCCATTCCTAAATACATATCCAAGAGAACTGAAAATATGTTCACATAAAAATTATTAAATAATTCATATTAGTGGAAATAACCTAAATGTCTATCAGCTAACGAATGATGAATGGATAAGCAAATTGTGAAATATGATTTAGCACACACAAATACATGGTACATCATAAATAAACTTTGAAAAACATTGTGCTATATGAGAAGCCAGACCCAAAAGACCGAATATGTTTTACTCACATGAAGTATCCACAAAAGAGAAATCTATAGAGTAAGTAGATTAGTGGTTGCCAGGAGCTGGAGGGAGGAGGATTGTTGAGTGATGGCTAATGGATACAAGGCTTCTTTTTGGGTAATGAAAATGCTCTGGAATTAGGTAGTGGTGCTGTTTGTACAACCATGTGAGTGTAATAAAAGCCACTAAATTATTTTAATACAGTGAATGACCTTTCAACCACAAAATAAATCTCATCATTATAAGTGATATTTATGCCCAGTTGATCATGGCTTTGTTATGTGCTATATTGATTAACTTGAAAGCCATATATACAGATACATGTAATAGTAATATGTATATTTAAATGTAAAGTAAATAAATATTTTCTCCTATAGAGCTTCTTTATTACCTCTAAAATTTTTTGAGATCAGATTTTGTGGCTTAACAATCTATATTCAGTTAAATTCTTAACATTAAATTATTTCATCATATTTTGATATGGTGAGAAACATCTAATTTAAACTTATTTTTTTTCTTTAAACAACAAAGTACATCAATGCTGATTATGTAGGAAAAGCCATTTAGAAATTGTTCACTTTTTTTTTTTTTTTTTTTGATACTGGGATGAACCCAGAGGGAATTTACCACTGAGCCACCATATCTCCAGTCCTTTTTATTTTGAGATAATAGAAAAGTTGCTGAGGCTGATCTTGAACCTGGGATCCTCCTGCCTCAGCCTCCCATACCCTTGCTTCATTTATTTCTATTCATGGCTAATGTAACTATAACTATTTAAAATTTCCTTGGGATTTGAACAGCTCTGTAAGACAGAATTTTATACCACCATTTGGGGTTTTTTCATAGCTGTTTTATAAAGATACCTATATTTTATAAAATGTACTACTTTATAAATTTTATAAAAATCTTATTAAATTTTATAGAAAATTTGCTCATATGAAAAGATAAATTTGTAGATAGTTGAAAGTAATTTTATACATGTAAATAATTATATGTAATTTTTATATATGATATTTTTCAGGTCAAGCAAATAAAATTGCCAAAGAAGCTGCTAACAGATGGACTGGTAGGTTAGAGTGAATCTGGTAAACTAGAGTTAAACTTTTATACTTACATTGATGTGAAATTCAGATGCCTTTGTACTAGCTTTGTTCAAGAAAGGGATTTCTGGAAATATATGCATTGCTCAAGTTATTGTATATTAAATCTTTTCAGTTAAGTTTATGTTTTAAAATCTTATAATTCACTTTGCAAAAGTATATTTTTGTAAAACCAATGACACTTCCAGTTGAACTTTATGTAACTTTTCCCAAGATAAATCATTTGGATTAATTGCTTAGCTTTCATATGTATTAATAAAATATATAGTTGAATTTTCACATATATTTATTGTAAAATACACCTTTTAAGAGTTTCAAGGAATCCTAAAGATTTATCTCCTTGCAAATAATAATAGCTAATGTTTGTTGAGGCTGTTTTCCAATTTTGTAATGCTTAACTGTGGTGTCTCCTCAATTATTTTATGAGGTAGATTTGATTATTATCTTTCATATTGAAGATGAGGATAAGGCCCTCAGGAATCCAAGGCATGTCACACGTTCACTAGGCTGTGAAACAGGAATAGAATTCTGGTTGTCTGATTCCATAGTCCAAGCTCTTACCCTACCATGTAATACTGTCTTCTATGTAAGCCTGCTTTCAGAGAATCCATTTGCAATGGGTACACCCTCTGATCCACACTAGAAATAATCTAAGAAGTGAGAATTAAGGCATATGTATGTGTCTTAATATTTATGGAGAAGATTAATAAATAGTGATTGCTGTGATTTATAAACAAGTATAATTAAGATTCTTAGAACCTGCCAGAAAATGAAACTGATATTTTTATATTATAAAATAGTGGCAATTGAATTTTTCCATCCTATTGAGAGTCTATAATGTCTTCCTTTGTATTAGTCATCCTCATTATGTTTCTGTGGGAGAATATGGATGAGATTGAAGCAGAGATGTGAAAAGCTTAAAGTGACTATGCTTAGTCAAAGTGGATTAGTCACTGGAAGAACAGAGATTTTTGCCAGTTTTTCCTGTCACCCTGTCCAGGCTTGTGTTTCACACACACACAAAAAAAAGAATCATTTTTTCCTAGTCTATTTTAGAATCAGGTAGATTTGGTGACATTAGTAAAATTGGTCTTTTGTTCCTATTTATTACAAAGTTATTCCCTACATGATATAGTGCTTTAGTGATAAGAACAAAATAAGATAAAAAGAATAAGCTAATATTGAAGAAAAGAGAATTGTGTCTGATGAAATATCAATAAATAATAAATGCAGTGATATTGTATGGGTTTGACAAATGCCAAATTCTGAGTGTGACACAAGAAGCAAGCTGACTTTTAGGTTAGAGATAAGAGTCATGAGGTGATTTGGCCCAGTAGTTCTCAACAAAGCATCACAGCAAGCAGTAGGAACAGGCAGCATGTGTGTACAGTGGGAGGAACTTGACTTTGAAAAGTGTCCAAGCCGAGCTCCTTATTAGCTAAGTGACCCCTTGAACTTCTCTGAACCTGCTTCCTCATGTATGCAGTGTGGATATCCACGTCACATTTTGAGAGGCCTAAATAAGAGTCTGTAAACTTTTCAACACAATATTAGATACATTAGTAAATTCCCACTTCCTTTTCCCATTCTTTATCATAAATTTCAGTTAAATAAACAATTATAAATTGTCTTCCAATTCATCATAAACTTCCTAGATTATAATTAGAAAAAAAACTGGCATTTTAAAAGCCTCTAGAAGAAAGATATTTTTAGAATAACAGAAACAGCTGTTAAGAAACATTTCCATGTGAGGTTACAGCTTATTTTTTCTAGCATAAACATGTATTATGAAAAGGCAGAGATAAGTGATAAAGCAAATTACACCTCAGAAAATCTCCTTCTCATGAAAACAAACAGAAAATATCAGTATTACTGATATTAATTAGCTATCAATTAAGGTTTGGTTTCTTTCTACATAACAAAGTCTTTAAAATGTATCTATAATTGAGAGTATTTTCTGTTTAATAATATAGAATGAAATTACTTAGTATGAATATAGAAAATCACATTTTATTGTTTTGCAACATTAAATACACTTTAAATGTGATTAACAAATTATATCACCTAAAACCTTACTTATTAATAATTAAAATAATAGAGTTTTTGTTGTTTTGCCATGCTAGACATTGAACCCAGGACTAAGCTACTTCCCAGCCTGAGATAGGGGAGTTTTTGTAAACGCATACAAGAAGCACCTTAATGTGTGAGGTCCTAAGAGGTTTATTGCAAGTGATATTGCCCATCCTATTCCTGTATGTATCTTGGGTGTGCAACCATATAGATTAACAAGAATTTACTAGACTTAGGTTATTTTTAAACAAAATTATTCTTTATCCATTTACAAAAATTTTTATATAATAGGAAAATCATAAAATAGGGAATATTATCAAGATATGGATATGTTATCTTGAAGGCAGATAGCTTATGGCCCAAGGAAGTATTTAATTCTATTAGCATTATTGTAAAGAAGCTTTTATTTGTTACTTCTTTTGTGTTAATATTCGAGTAAATATTCAATGATTAAAATGTTTTCTTGTCCAGTGTGAACCAGAAACTCCTTCCTGCAGAGACTGTTGAATAACCTCACTTTGGTGCCTCATTTTCATCTCTCCTGACCCATGTTCAAAGTCTGTTCACTGCAAGCTTCTTCCAGTATTATATATGTTCTCCCATGTCCTAGAAATCCTTCTGTACTCATGAAGCCTATCTTGAAAGCTCTGCACATAATACTTGATCTTTTCTCTCTAACACACATATCACTTTGGAATTGTTCTGTAATAAATTAATGATATTTCTCTCTCGTGTCAGCTTGAAGGCATAGGTTCTTTACATTCTGTAGTATCTTTAATATACTTAATACCTATATTCTGTAGCAGTGGGCCCTTACAAATATTTGACTATGATTGGCAAGAATGTTTTGATTGTTAAGTACTAAACAGATCATCCTGGTATACCTCATGCTATTGTTTTAATATTCTCACTTGTTATGAAAAGTAAAGATTCATCTAGTAGCAGTGGGGCACACCTGTAATCCCAGTGACTCAGGAGGCTGAGAGAGAAGGATTGCAAGTTTGAGACCAGCCTCAGCAAATTAGCAAGGCCCTAAGCTCTTTAGCAAGACCCTGTCTCTCAAAAAATAAAAAGGAGGCTGAGGATATAGCTCAGTTGGTGGAGTGCTTGGCTCTCGTGCACAAGGCCCTGGGTTCAATCCCCAGTGTCACACACAAAAAAATAATCATCATCATAAATTTAAAAAATAAAAAGGGCTAGGGATATGGCTTAAGCACCCTTGGGTACAGTTCCCCCCACCTGCCAAATAAAGAGTGAAGGTTCATTTTTATACTATTGACATAGCACAATACTTTATTTTTTATTAATTAATCTATTTAAATTAGGTATATGACAGCAGAATGCATTTTAATTCATTGCACACAATTGCAACACAACTTTTCATTTCTCTGGTTGTACACAATATAATGTCACATCATATGTGCAGTCATACATGTGCCTAGGGTAATGATGTTTATCTCATTCCACCATCTTTCCTGCCCCCATGCACCCTCCTCACTCCTCCCTCCCCTTTGCCCAAAGTTTCTCCATTTTTTCCATCCCCCCCAACACTTTAAATCAAAGAAATATTTTTGTTAGACTGCTTATTCTATGTGAAGCAGCAGTATTCACCTTAGAAATAAAAATTTTTATCATCATTTGATACTTGGAATTAAACTTCCACTGAAACTATATTAAAGAGTGATAAAGCTTCATATATATTAATTAACAACCTGCAATCCTTCTGCCTCAGCCTCCTGAGTCACTGGGATTACAGGTGTGCCCCACTGCTCCTGGATGAAAATCTTTACTTTTCATAACAGGTGAGAATATTAAAATAATAATATGAGGTATTCCAGGATGATGCCAGAAGATAATACCAGAGTGGTTTATGCAGCAGAAATTTAATTTTTGACCATTCCCAAGGCTTCAAATCCAAAATCCAGGTGTTGGCAAGGTCCCATTCTGAAACCTCTCCTTGGTTTGCACATGACTGTCCCCCTCCCCCATCCTGGGTCCTCCCATGGTCTGGGCAGGGCTAGTGTGTCTCAATGTGCCCAAATATTCTTTTATTATAAAATTGAATTAGAGCCCAGCTTAACCACCTCATTTTTAACTTAATCACCTTCTTAAAGATCTGTCACCAGTACAGTCACATTATGAGATAAGGGGGATTAGGACTTCAAATATGAGTAAGGGGAGGAGAAGTAGTAGCATGATTAGACCATAACAATCCAGAAGAACCCATTTGAGCCCTTTGCTTCATTATCACTACTAATACAGTGCTTAACATATTCTGACAAACCAGAAAACCTTATGTCATTGTTTTTCTATGTGTAGAATAATTTTCATTATAAAAGTTGTATGTGTATATAAAAGAAATGTGTGAAATTAAGGTGGGGAAACTCACCCTCATTCCCATTCCCCAATTGCAGTCACTGTTAGCATGTTAGACATTTGCATTGCTTTTTTTGTTCTCTCTCTCTCCCTCCCTCCCTCCCCCTCTCCTCCTCTCCCTCCATCCCTCTCTCCCCTTTAACTGGGATGAATGAAAATCCTTGACCAACAAAAATCTTTGCACATACTTTATTTTCTTTTGTTGGGATATATTCTTTTAAGTAGAAATAACACATTTTTAATTGATAAAAAGCATTTATACCCCCCACCCCACCCCAGAGGATACCAAAGACACATCTCTTTCTATCTTTGTCTTAAGAGACAGAAACCCTTTCCCTTTCCCTCATCCCTTCTCCCTCACACTGGCCTGATTGTTTGAAAGCCATTTCTCTCTGAGGGCTAGAAAGAAGTATCTGGAAAGCATGTGTTCCTATTGGAACAACTGATTCCTGAGGCAACAGTCAGACCTCTGTGGTGAAAATGCAGAAGAGATACCATTAACCAGTCCCTGTCTGTATTGTTTAACAGCACATAACTTACTGAATTTTTTAATATGAGATATGCTCACTTGTCCAAAATACCTTTTATTTATAGTTATTGCTGTTGATCTTACTACTTAATACAGCAGAAAGCAATAAGAGGAAGTAAAGGAGCAATGAAGATAATTGCATTTTAAGTATTTTATGATTGTGTTTTTAATTCTTAAAACTATTTCTCGCTCTCTTTTTCTTTTAGATAATATATTTGCACTAAAATCCTGGGCCAAAAGAAAATTTGCATTTGAAGAAAATAAAATTGATAAAACTTTTGGAATTCCAGAAGACTTTGATTACATAGACTAAAATGTTCAATGGTTGTAGAGGATCTATGAGCTTGTAAATATGTAAATTTTAAAATATTTTTCAACTAACTATACTGAATTTTCATTTATTGTAACTATCATTTTATTATTTTTAAATAAAATGTGAAATGCAGTGGCTAGGGCTGGGGCTCAGCAGTAGTCTGGCATGTGTGAGGCTCTGGGTTTGATTCTCAGCACTACATATAAATAAATAAATAAATGTCTATCGATAATTAAAATAATATTTTTTAAAAGTATGAAATGCAGATAATCTTCACCTTTTTTGATAGATTGAAAGCAGGCTGATAACTATATACCTCAGTGCTCATTCAAAGTAAGATAATACAAGTAAAGTCATCCATCTCAGTCAAATCAAATTTATAGATGTTTTTTCAAAGGTCAAAAGCATGACTTTTTTTGTTTTCATTTAAATATTAAATACTAAGGGTGCTTTTGAAGACTCTGTTATACAAATACATAGATACATGTTGATGTTTAGAAATAATCTTTAAAACCCTGATGGTTGTATTACTGTTTCTCAATATTGATGGAAAATGTGTGATTGATACTCAGTATACTGAATCATCTTTGCAAATCTCCCACAGGGAAAAAATATAGAAAATTGGTGTTTCTCAATTTTGAGTTAAGTAGTAGTTTAACATAGACATGCAGACCCTACCTTCTTCTGAGTTTTTTATACTTTTTTCTGCTGGAAATAAGCATACAGTTCTTTGTCCTGATTTATGCACTTTTTATAAGATCATAAAGTTGTCTGTATAATATACATCGCCAACTATGCAGAATTCTAGGTTTTTATAAACTATCAAAGGTATAGGCTAAAAGTAAAATAAATCCCACTTATATATTTTTTTACCAATTCAGCTTAGAGTTTTTGTAAGCTCTCCAAAAGAGACTTTTAAAGGAAAAGATAAAAATTGATAATGTCTTTTACAACACATGCCTTATTTTTTTTTTACATTGTCCAATCTTGATATTCTTTTAACTTGAGTGAAATACTCCATATGTCTGAAATGACCCAAATGGCATTCAAACCATTTGTTTGTGAATCTGGCCTTTGTATTGTAGGGAGTTCCTCTGGACCTACTTAATCACTTCCTGGCAGTAGACAGGCACAAATTGGTCCATCTTTGTTGGTGGGGCCAGTTTATGTTGCCTTAAGGCAAAAGCTATTCTCACCAAAAAAAAAAAAAAAAAATTTATTTAAGAAACAATAATAATCTGCCATAAGCCTTTTCTTAAAACACTGATTGAGAGATTTCAAAAGTTTCTCAGATCCAGTTGTCATTTATTAGAAATCATGCTTTCTTGCTTAGAAAGTATGTTATGTTCAAAAAATAAGCCATTTCTCATAAAACCTAAAAGATGCTGTTGTATAAGTGTTGAGGCAACTTTTGAGAGGGTATCTTTATGGGTCTAATACACAAATGAATAAAACAGTATCTATTTGTGAGATTATATCAGAGATTAGGACACCCTTGTATTGCCAAAAATGTACTGGTATATGCTTAATAACTGACTCTAGGGAAAGGGGAGGCTGATTGTATGTTGTTAATGCTCCCAGCATAGCCAATTTCAGGTTTTTAATGTGATAACAATACAGAACTGGAAAAGAAGGTCAGTGTACACAAGTTTGTAGTACTCCTACTATAAGGTCCTTGCTTAGCATCTGAATGGCCATTTTAAGAAAAAAATTTTGATTTCCCACCCAAGTGCCTTCCTGAGAAAGGCTCACCACTCCCTCATACTAACCCAACCCTTAACCACCGGCTTTGGACCGCCAGGTTCTGATTCCTGAGCCTCTCCCATAGAAGTCCCAGAACTCAAGCCTGTTTTGCCTCTCTCTCCTATAGAGAGATGGCCTTCATTTGTCAGCTCTGATGAATAAACTCTTGTGTGTATCTCTGCCTAGTCTCTGTCTTTCATTTCTCCCTTTCCCTTCACCTACCATACAGATGCAGTAGATAAAAGTAATCTCAAGAACATAAGTAATAGTAAAATAATTAGGGAGAGATTAATTTTTCATCTTTATCTTTGTTTTTAATAAAGTTCATTGCAAAGGGATTAGAAAAGGAAATTAGTACAACAATTTATAAACTTAATTATAAACCAAATTATAACTTAATCTTTCATGATGTCTGTGTCTAACAGCTAACTTGCTGTTAAAATGGTTGATTTGCCTGCCCCAGCACACCACTGTTGATAATCCCCTTTTTTTTTTTTTCTGAGGGTTGGTATATGCTAAGGGTTGAACCCAGAGCCTTGTGCATGCTCAGCACGTGCTCTACCACTGTTACTAATCTTTAATAGTTAAATTTGGAGATACTGATAGGATAAAAGAAACTGAAGTTAAAATGTAAAGGACTAGGTATTGTAAAGTTTCTAAACTGCACTCAGAACCTAAAATTCCTGTGGCACTTAAGACAATTCCAGGAACTGCCCATTAGATATGTGTCAAATCCCCCCTGACCACTTAGCTGCTTAACCCTGACCACTTAGTTGCTTAACAACCTGGACCCTGTGCAGCTCGGCACGTAGGCACCTCAGGGTCCAAACCAATCAGTTTGAATGTATCCCCCTCCTTAGGACTGACCTATCACTCCCGCCCGACCTGTTCCCGCCAATGAATGTGCTAATCGTGTTTGAGAGTTGTTGTTGGATTTTCCCGTGCTTCATGATGATTTGCTCTGATGTATGCAAAGCCCCCGCCCTCCCCAAAAAATGTACTTAAGCACTGCTTAATCCCTGCTCGGGGCTCTTGGCCGATCTCCCTTCTTGAGTGAGCCCGAAGCCCCAGCGTGCTGGATCTGCAATAAACCCCCTTTTGCTGTTGCATGAGTCGGTCTCTTGGTGGTCTCTTCCTCCATCGTTCGCCGGTCCCTTACAATACTAATTAAGTAGCCCAGGGGTATTAGTTCAGCCAGACTCAAGGTAATCCTTAGTCTTAGACTGGTTTTGTTATTGATCCCAGAATTTATGTGATGCAACTTGGGTAAACAGAATTATATTATAAGTGATCTAGGACCAAATATGATTCAGTAAGTCATGCTATGCTTGATAATCCCAATATCTTTTCAATGAATTTTGAAGTTTGCAAGGTATTTGAAACCTGATACCCATCTTATCAACCATCTCACATGTAGTTATCTTTTAAATCTCAGAAATAATATATGTTCTAATTTTAAGAGATTCTAAAAAAAGATAGTGTCCTGGTAACTTTCACAATTATCCAGGAGCAGATCAAATCACCGAATTGTTCTTCCTGTGGCAACGCCACTCCCTACTGGATAAATCGGTATGAATTTTCCTCTGATGTTTGCCACATCATTAGTCTAATAGGATTATAAAGTTCTTGGCCTGTTTCAGAAATAAATGCTATTATTCTAAATTTTATCAAACATGATCCTCTTTAAGGGATTAGAAAAGGAAAGGAAATGAGTACAACTGGCAACCCAAAACCTAGAACCACGCCAGTAATTCTTGCACAGAAAAGTCCAAATTATAAATCTGGTAATATTTTTTTGAGAACATGAAGTAAAATACCTAGAAAATATTTCTTAGGTAATATGGTATTATCTGTAAGAACAGCTAAATGTGATAGATGGTAGGATTGTGTCTGAAAATTATGTATAAACTCCCTTTCAGGATATGTTTCCAGGATATGCCAGGATGAAAATGTACTATATTATGAAATGACCCACTACAATGGACTTATATAAGTTATGCTTATCCCAGCCTGATTTTAAAAGAAAATTATTTGAGAGGCAAACAACATGGGCTGTCTTCTTCCAAAATACTCATAGTTGAATCTCAAGGTTAATGGATTCTATGGATAAAGTAGTGACATACCACCTGAGGGCCTATCTTTTACTGTCTTTTTACATCTTTAATAAAAATAAACAGGAATGTATGACAAAGACTATATGTATTCCACAAAGCCAAAAATTATTTTGTATCTGACCCTTTACAGAAAGGTTACCACCCTGAAAATTCAACTATTGACAGCCTGTGGTTTAGCCATGACAGGCAAGATGTATTTTATTTAGCCCAAACTGTGTTTTATTTTTTAAATTTCCAACATATTTAGGCTGTAAAATATCACATGAAAACTAAAATTTTCAGCTTCTTTTGGATATTATTAAGAAATCATAAATCCTTCCATATGGCAGCAGATAAGCTCAAGGTGAATAGTACTGGCTCAAGGGATCATAAGGCAATTCATTAGACCACAAACATACAGCTTTCTTCCTTAAGTCACAGTTTGGTTCCAAGTTGTCAGACTGATTTGTTATTAAATTTTAGTTTCAACTTTTCTAATTTCAGAAAAAAATTGATGTTATTTTGGTTTTGATTGATAACTAAGGGAGAACTGATAATCTTTTTTTTTTTTAAAGAGAGAGTGAGAGAGAAAGAGAGAGAGAGAATTGTAATATTTATTTTTTAGTTATTGGCGGACACAACATCTTTGTTGGTATGTGGTCCTGAGAATCGAACCCGGGCCGCACGCATGCCAGGCGAGTGCGCTACCGCTTGAGCCACATTCCCAGCCCAGAACTGATAATCTTGATGAAGCATTTTATTCAAAAACAGGGATGTTTTTGCATTTGCTCAAGTATCCTTTTATATTTTTCCAATAATTTTGTTATTTTCTTCATGTGGATTTTTTAAAGTGTGTTTTAAGTATTTCATCATTTTTTGCCATTTTTAAAGAGATTTTTCTCTTCCATTTTATCTTTTGGTTGGCATAATTTATGTGGCTGAAGGCTATTGCTTTTGCATATTTTCTTTCTTTATTTGCAGTGTTGGGGATTAAATCCAGGGCCTCGGGCATGTTAGGTAATTATACAACCAGTGTACTATATCCCCAGTCCCTGCATATTAATTTTGTATCCTCCTGTTATGTGAGTTCATTTTCTGTTATTATAACTGAATAACACAGACTGGGTAAAAAATAGAGGTTTGCTTAGCTGAAGGTTCTGGAGGCTGGAAAGTCCAAAAGTATGGCCTCAGCATCTGGTGAGGGTCTTTTTGTTGCATCATAACATGGCAGAGGGCATGAATGGCAAGACAGTGTACTAGCTGGAGTCTCCCTTCCTATTATAAAGTTACTA